TAAGCAACATGCAAACACATACAACACAGAAAACACACACCGCACACTCATACCAGTCACACATTCACCCTATAAACACACACATTCCAAAAACACACATTCCACACTCACACCACACAAACGCTGCAAAAACAAGCTCAGGGACAGAAGACAGCAGCGGCCCCTCCCACCCCAAGCGGAGCCGCCGCTCACTGTGCACAGTGAGCAGCGGTTGGTCGGAATAGCCAATGGAACTGTGGCCGAACAGCAGTCTCACAGCCGAGGACTCACAGACGCCACGTCGAGACGGACCGGAGGGCTGGCCGAGTGCAGCGGCTGAGTGTCTGGACGGATACGTTAGCTACAAAGGTGCCCCCTGAGGAGTGTGGGGTCTCAGCCCAGAACGGGGCCCGCCCTGGAGCAGCAGGCCGAGGGGAGGAGCCCGCAGAGCACCTGGCACGGAGACCAGTAGGCAGCCTGTCCCCCCGGGGACCCCGGCCTTCTTGAGGATGGGTGCACAGGGCCCCTTCCGCCGCCACCGGCCCTGGGGTCTGTGCTACGCGAGCGGTGGGAGTGGAGGAGAGCCTGGCGAGAACAGGCTGGGCTGTGTGGCCCCAGGGAGGGCGCTGGGGGGACGGCCCAGGGTCCCGGTGCTGCGTCCCTCTCCTGCGGCGCCCGCAGACGCCACCTTTCCTGGGGTGAACACGCCCCTGCAGTCTGCACCAGCCCAGGCGGACGGCACAGCCTTAAATGCCACACGGTGGGAACTCCGAGGCAGTCAATAGTATTGTGAAGGCTGTACGGTGCCAGGGGCAGGGGTCCTGGCAATGTCAAGCGCGTGACTATCTAACCACTAAGCTGAACACCCCAAACCAATGCAGAATTCGAAAAAGCACAGGCTAGATGCCGGCTGGATTCAGACTCTGCAATTTACTTGGTGCCCCCAAGCTTCCTTCTCTTCATCTGCAAACTGGGAGTAATTCATCCAATTATTCTGCAAATACTGGTATAGAACAACCATGGGTGACTTCAAAGCACTCCCGATATTGCTCCTTTGGGGTGACTGGGCAGGGGCTGGCTGCTGTTTGCTGAGAGGGGGACCGAGGGAGGAGCCAGGTTGGGGAAGGTGGCCAGTCGAGGATTTTATCTGGGCCATGGCCAGGTTCAAATGCCTTCGACATCTGAGAGGCGGGGGCCAGAAAGCAGACCAAGTCCAAAGAGATTCATTAGGATGGGGCGGGACAAAGAAAACCCAGGGATTCGCCTTACAATGCATTCCTTTAGAGCCAAGGGATTAGCAACCTGAATTCAGGTGTGTGGTGCCACATGGGCGCAGAGGCCAGGATGCTGCCAAAGAAGTTAGTGATCAGCTCCGTAAAAGGTCGCCAGCAGGTTCCACTTATGGGCGAGCCGCATGAGGAGGTCCGAGGACCCACCCCTGAAGGGTGAAAACTATCTTTTAAAAACACTTAAAGCCTCTAGACATTGTCTTAAAGGCATACAACAAGCAAATATTCGGAAAGAATATACCAAATCCCGGTGGGAACAGTGACAGCCTATGGTATTGGAGGTGGCCTGCCCCATCTCGCCCTTGCCAGCTCAGCTCAGCTGTGAAAAATAGCAGTTTTGATCCACTGCACAGTATCTTCATTCATAAAGGCTTCATCTTTCACGGCGTTTTAACATATTGGCCTTTTCAGAAGTGAAGAGTACAGACAGCGTAAGCCCAATTATTTTATATTTATACTGCAGTTCTTAATTTCACCACTTACAAATAGGAGTGACGAATGTTCTCGTACCTTCCATTCCATTTTATACTCACCGAAGCAGCATGCCGCGCTGCTCCCCCATTAGCTTCGAGGCAAGCACTTACACCGTTGTAGACTTTGAACTTTCTGATGAATGAAAACCTACCTTAGCTTTGGGTTTCATTGACCAAGCTCAGGTTTCCGACATCTTCACCTTCTGTGCCACGTGTGTGGTTACCACAAGGGTGAATAGGTAGATGATAACAATCACGGGAGGGCTGGTTCTTTGGAAATTTACCAAACCTCTCTGTGTCTACTTCAGATCAATGACATAGGGCTACTACTGCCTACCTAACATACTTCATTAAAGAGAGTAACAGAAGGTGTCTTATTCGAGAGCCTAATTGACATACAATGGTGAAAAAAGCGCCCTCTTCTCATATGGTGGGGCAATGCTGACCTCTACAGGACATGCTGGGATCTGCAGGAAATGCTGGGATCTGATTTTCTAGTTCACCCGTTTTCACCGCTGAGTAAGAATGACCAGATGTTTTGTGGTTCCTGAAATTCATCTGATTTAAACATGTTAACAATTAACATGACTCATTAATCACATTCTTGTAGCGTAAACTGACATTTCATTACTATACTAACTTCTTGCTGCAAAAGTGAGCCTTTTGAGAGGCTGAAGTTGCAAATTGTCACAAGGAAGTAAGTGCAACTTTCCAGTGCACATGTAAACCAAACAACATTTTAAATAAAATATTTCATTACACTTTAAGAAAAGTATTGAACCCCATGACACAGTGATCTTCAGTGTAATGAATTTGGCAGGTTAATACTTGGCTAATTAGGCATCAATGACCTTTATTAACAGGCTTTCTCCCCCATTGAATACAAAACAAACCATTACAAAATATAGTCAGTTATCAGGAGTAAACCAAAGCCACTGAGCAAGTAGACCAGCTATAAAAAGGAATTTATTAAAAAAATAGACAACATATGTAAACATCTTTTTCACTCACAGGCTTCATAATCCAGCATCAGGCAGTGGAGCACCTTCATGTTGACACGAGTAATAAGTTTAGCTCATCTTTCAGGGAGCTAGGCAGTCTACACGAAAATAAATAACCAGATCCTGCTAAGAGGGCACATCGGAAATCGCAAATGTACAATAGATCTTGGCAGAAAAACAGCTACCTGTAGTACATGTGAGAGCAAATCCTTGTACTGTAATGATCTTTTTAAATGGCTTTATTTCTAAATTCATTATAACACAATTGGCTAAAATTATGCTAAACAGGAAGGGGAACAGAGGGACACCCTCCACGCCCCCGCCCCCCGACCCCCCGCAGCATTTTGGTAGAAACAAAACCGAGAACATAGTTTCTGTCCTTCTCCCATGTATTATTTCAGGCATGTATTTCCTTTGCTTTCGGCTGGAAGTTACACGCCCCCAAAGACAGAGTACAAAGCAGCCAACCACAGTTTCAAATGTGATAACATTCTGAGGAAACCAAATCTCAGCAGCCTAATTCGACATCCACCCAAAAGGAGAGCAAATCATAGAATGGACAATAATCCAACCAAATGCAGTAAGTACCTGAGATTTTGCTGCAAGAATCTTAAACACAAGATTGTGTTCTTTAGGGCAAAGGGTTACTTTAATCCTTCTGTGCCCGTTTCGTCGTCTGCTGGGGGCACACCTGCATGGTGACTAAGGTATTCCAAAATGGCCAAAGAGAATTTTTCACGTTTTCTATAGGTAGGCATTTTATCACACCTGATTTAATTTAAATTGTTGACATTTCAGTTATTCAGTAAACCTTAACTAGGGTAAAATTCTAAATAAAATATCAACTAAGATTTATAACTTAGTGTTTCATTGTATGGAAAAATTTATTGTCTGTCTTCTGAAAAACCACATTCTAGTAACAGAAGGGGAGTAAAAGAGAGATCGCAGAAGAACCCCAGGCCAATTTGCAAGCTCCTGGGTAACCACGTATGTTGTTTTATAACTCAATGGTCTCTTTGCATGATTTCAAAGTGACTCACTTACAATATTAAATCATTTAAAACCCTGATCTGCTATCCGAAGATCCATTTTATAAACCCATATCTGAAAATAATCTGAAATGCATTTGCCCTTCCCGCCATACCAGCTTATCTCAACAGAAGTCTAACATTGCACTCACAATTAAGTGTGAAATAACCATATAACATTTAAATTCCACCAGCGCTGCTGTTCCTTGATTTGGCAGTGTTTCTAATTGTTTTGGGGATGATTAAGGTAATTATGCATTTAAATAGAGAAAAATAAATGACATGAATGTTTACAATACATCATCGACATGTGTGTCAATTTCTAAAAATTCTGCTACAAAATGGAAAGGCTTTGCACATCTGAAGACTGGATAAATGAAGCACCCTTTCTATTGGAAGAACCCGTGGATGCACGTCTCTCAGATGCACGCGCACAGTCTCAGCCAAAGGTCAATGACTGATCTTGTAAAAATCTATTTTGGGGTTCGATTGGATAAAATTTTTATAAGTTACATTCAGTAAAACTTTTACAAGTTACATTCAGTAGATTTTCCTCAAAAAGAGAAATAGTGCATAATTTAGGTGAGAATTGGACATATTTGTGCATTAAAAGCTTACTGTTGAGTCTAGGTACTTTAAATAGGACATTGTATCTATTCTAGTTATCACTTTTTAAAAAATAGACACCTTTACTTACTAATATCACATTATTCTTCTTGGCTTTTTGTTGCACGAGAGAGAGAGAGAGAGAGAGAGAGAGAGAGAGAGATATAGAGGTAGAGGTAGAGAGCGAGATAGTGGTAGAGATAGACATAGAGGTAGAGGTAGAGATAAAGAAAGAAAAAGGAGAAGGAAAGGAAAGTCAAAAGGGAAATAAGACAAAGGCAGGCAGGGAGGGCGGGACCAGATGCTAGGACCTCACTACTTCTGTGCAAGAACAGTCAAGGCTCCAACGACAACAGCAGTGTTACAGTCCTGCTTTGGGTGACTGTTCCCAGCAGAGCTCTGGGTTGCTGCACGCTTCCTGTTTTACACCAGGGCATGTATCGTAAGTTACCAGGCAAGACTCCAGTGGAAAAAACAATCTACGCAGATAGCTTACAGCGACCACGTCCATTGTTTGAGAAGTGAGCCACACATTACCATTGTAGGAACATGGCCACAGCTTTGGAAAACACAGCAGCATAAAACAATTCAAAGGTAGACACAGTGTTTTAATTTGTTCACCTTAAAAAAAAAAAAGAAAGAAATGCTTGAACAACAATAAGGCACTTAAGACAAGAATTCCTTCTCCAGTTGGTAGATGGACGGCCGGCTCCTTCCACCCTTTATCCGGCACAAAGGCACCGTGTAGTCCCGGCTCTGGCCCTCCATGTCAGCGTCCAGCAAGGAAGGCACATGGAGTATATTTCTGTCCGTGGTACCGAGGGAACAGTGAGGGGTCAGCCCTGCGCCCCGCAGGCCAGGGTGGGCCTGTGCCGGCCGAGGCTCTGTTCTCCCTGCAGGGGCCTGGGGGGCATCCGATGGGCCTCTCAGGGGTGGGGCGCGGGGCAGAGACACGGCGGTGACAGTTCTTTGTCTTCCAGGTGGAGCCTCCCTCGGTGGGTTGCTGTGAGGACAGGGGGGCGGGAGAGGCAGCCCCCACGCCTTCTCAGGAGCCAGCGCAGGGACTCCCGTGGGGCCAGCTGGTTGAGAAAGAGCAGACAGCATGCGATCAGAAAGACAGCGACGTCTCAAACAATGTGTATCAAGAAAAGCAACGAGGATGGCAGTTCAATGATGTAATCTCTTGAAAGGGGGTTTCCATAAAAAACCCTGAACACAAACCTTTCGAAACTGTTAAGACATAAGGCTTGTTTGATTTCTTATGAAAAAGTGCCACAGGACTGGAGTGAGGGCTTCCAACTATAGAAACCACACCTGTAAACGGAGCCACAATGCCATCAAGGTGCTTAGGCCATCAATCAATTGAACTGTTTTATACACAGGGTAGGTTCCAAAATGGACTGGACTGGAATAAAGTGAAGACTGAAAAATGCTGGTTAGCTCAGGCCAGGTGGCTCGGCCAGCTGGGGTGTTGTGCCCTACCCCAAAAGGCTGTGGGCTCGATCGCCAGTCAGGGCACATGCCTAGGTTGCGGGTTCAATCCCCAGTTGGTGCACATATACGAGGCGACCGATCGATGTTTCTCTTTCACATTGATGTCTCTCTCTCTTTCTCTCTCTCATCAATAAACATATCCTTGGGTGATGATTTATTTATTTATTTATTTGGGTGAGGGTTTAAAAAAATGATGGTTAATATGATTAAATTTCACTTTCAGATTATGATTTGAAAAAACTCACGAAAATAGGAAAGCATTCGGGTTTTTACATGTTACCTGCTCTTTCTGTTTTGAAAAACTGACTTATTACCACTGTAGCAAATAATTATTGGCTTATGAAATTAAGAAAAAAGAATGATTTCCTATTGCCCATGAACCACAGAAACCATATGTAATGTACTTTTGAAGCCTATATAATCTTATTAACCAATGTCACCCCAATAAATTTAATAAAAAAAAAGAACAGTTGCCTATGGGGTTACTGTGCTAGAATTTCTCCCCATACAATGATAAGTTACTAAGACTTTATTGTGTTACAAAAGACCAATAAACCAATTTATTTAAAGGCAATGAACAATAATCTGGAAAAAAAAAAAAAAAAAACCAGATCTAGGTGTAGTACTTCATGAGATGAAGGAGAAGAGAGAATGAAAGCACTTTCCGCCTTAACATACTTTATACCCAACCCTAGAATAACACGTCACAAAGTCAAATTTAAGTTCCGTGCGCTTTGTCTCACATAATACTCAGGGCAGATCTCCGAGGTGGTTATAATTAACCTCACAGACAGCTCCTATCAACACCTACTGTGCCATTCGCTTTTGACAGAAAACCTGCTACACCCCATCTGAGCAGCGCGCCACGCGCCCCAGGACACAGGGGCCCCGGCCGGGGAGGCGGCCAGGGTTGGCTCTGGCTCTCCCACTCACTGCGGGGCGGTGAGTCGGGTAACCTGTCTTCTCACCAGGAGGGGCACAGGGGTGAGGAGACAGTTATTCTCATGCCTGCTTTCTGTTTTACTGTGCTTTATGTATTTAAGTTACGGAAGTTTAATTATACTTTTCCCAGAATCTAAATGATAGCTACACAAAAGAGTAGGGTAAAATCTGAAGGTCTGTGTGAATGGTGAAAACGAATTTGTCAATGTAATCACTCATCAGACACCCAGGAAAGGGGTGACGTTCCCTGGGTCCAGTGGCGTCTGCACCTTCACCAACAGCGTGCCCTACCTGGGGCCAGAGAGGCACTGCCGTCAGACAGGGTCCGCCGGTGACGCGCTGCTCTTTCCTTGGAAGAAGCGCAGGGAGGCGCGTGCCCACGGGTCTGCTCAGAGGCCAGCGGACAGGGGTGTCTCCACACACCGCGATCGGCCTCCCATCTCAGCGGGGAGGGTGCCTCGGGACAGCCTCTTCCAGAGGCGGGGCAGGGCGCCCCAGCGGGCGCATCGAGGTCCCGAGTGCCGCGTGCGCTGCCCTCGAGCGAGTCCGCGCCCTCCGCCCGCAGCAAGCACCTTGTGGAGGGGGAAGGCCTCGATGGCAGGCCCAGGGCGCCGGGCGAGGGCAGCGAGGCCGGGCTGCGGGGCCCCTCGCTGGCGGCCGGCGGCCGGGGGCGATCGGCTGCGCGGGGCCTGGGCGCCCGCGGCAGGAGCCCCTCGCGTTTCCTCCGTTCTTCCCTGGGCCCCGGCTCCTCCGCCGCCTGCGGGCGCGGCAGCTCTCTCAGATCCAGGCCCAGAGCCACCGAGGCCAGCAGCACGGTGCAGCCGTACAGGGCGGACTCCGTTCTCCTTCTCGGGGACCTGCTCAGACTGCCGCTGGGGGTCACCGGGGGAGTGCCGGCGGCAAGGCTGCCCAAGGCGGCCTCCTCCCAGCTCTCAGCTTCCAGAGGGTTCTCTCTCTGGCCCTCTCTGCCCAGAGGCGGCTCCACGTAGGCTGGGCCGGGCAGTCTGGTCTGCTTCGGTTTTCTGTGCTCTGATCCATCCGCAGGGGGTTTTGGTTCTTCACAAGCACCTAAGTAAAGGTACAGACACACACATGGGGGTAGCGTGTTACAGTGCAACTCCTCTAAACTCTGTGTATGCTAAAGCTAAAATCTGATAAATATTCTAAATCAAAACGCGTCTGGAGACTTCTTGGTGTAGCAGATGATTCACCCAGCTCGGCCTGTGGGGAAGGGACCCTGGGTCCCCGGGGCCAGCAGAGCCCCTGTGTTCCCTGGCCTTCAGGAAGGGGTCCCTCGCTGGCATGGGAAATAAAACTGCTGGAGGAACAGAGGTATCCAGGGCCAGAACGTGCACCCGTACCCACAGGCCCTGTGATTTACCAGACAAACGTGCCTTTTTCCTCACGTCAACCCACACACGGGGGGCCCTGTCACCTACGGCTCGTCGGCACGGGAAGAAGTGTCCCCCATCAGAGCGCGGTCCTCAAAGCGTGTTCCCCGGCCGTCCCACCCGCCTCACCCGAAACCTTGTAGAAACGCCAATGCCCAGCCCACCCCGGACACAGAATGAGAAACTCCAGGGCGGGGGCCCAGCAGCCTGTGTGTCGGAAGGTTTTGCTCAAGTTTGGGAGCCACTGCAAGAGAGGAAGACATTCCACAGGGGCTGAGCCCCGAAGGCTAACATACTCTACAAACTAGAGAGGAAGAGATCATTCCTGTCACTGAAGTGCGTGACAATAGGCGGCGGGAACTGCTCGCTCCTTATTCTGGTGTGTGCGTCGATCCACAACAGTCCTCCAGTTACATTTCCACAAGGACCTCCTACGACACCTGAACCGCGGTCTGTCACCGAGACAAGCCGCATGCCAGCTTTTCCCCCGACAAGCTCCTGTTCTTCCCACGGGTGTCTCTTCTTCAGGGAGCCCCCTTCTTTCTCGGCCCGCCCCCTTTCCTCTCTGGGAGGCCGACGACCCCAGCTCCCTGCCCCCACAACACTTTCCATGAAAGTACCACCTAACACTCATCCAGCCTGACACGTGCCCCGTGGGACCTCTGATTCCTCTGAGGCTTGCCAGCAGCACCCAATTCCTTCCTTTTATTTGCTGTCAGGTCACGGTCATGTGGGCATGCCCGTGGGTGGCAAGCTTCTGACCACGGTGACATTATCTCCTGAGGGGTCTTCCCTGAGCAGAGCCTTCATTAAGGAGGTACACAATGCACTTTGGCGAACTGAATGCACAGTACATGTAACCAATCACAGATTATCCATCTACTGTGTAAACAGAAGCGGGGAGGTTGCTATGGTCAAATGAAGTCAACAGATTTCCAAGTACTTGGAGCGTTTCCTAACGTGTGCTCCCACGCACCTTTACTCAGCAGCACAACACGCACTTGCCCCCTCAAGTGGCCATGACCTTCCACTGATCCATCATGACCTTTCCCTGCCCTCACAACCGGCGACAAGCACTGGTATCCCCCAAACCAAGTAAATATAATCAACGTCCATATAAGATCAAACAGTCCATCCAGGATGATTTAGGCATTCCCCAGGGAGACACTGTGTGCTTGCCAAGTTCCAGGCATTGGGAGGCGAGTGGTGAACAAAAGAGAAAAAAATCCTTGTCTCCAAGGTGTTGACTTTCTAGTTTGTGGGTGACAGAGAACACATGCATCACAGGTGTCAGTGAAGACAAGAATTTCAGATAAGAGCCACGAATAAACAGCAATGGGTATGAAGTTAGAGGGATGGGGCGGGACGCGACTTCAGCGAAGGCCGTCAGAAGAGGCTTCCAGGAAGCCAGGAAAGGCTTGAGCTGAGACACAAATGTGTAGAAGGACCGGGCCGCACAGATGGGCAGTGGGAGGGGACCTTCAGGCATGACAGCCAAGTGTAAACCTGCTGCTCATCAACCTGCAAGTGAACTGCAGAGTTAACTTGGTGGAGGCTGAACTGAATCGGCCAAGTATGTTCTTTGATTCCTCCGTCCTCGGGAGGAGCCATTCACAGCGTCAACATAGTCTCAGCAGGAAAACGTGGGATTATTTCTTTGATAAACCCCTCTACCTGGTCAGTCACAAATAATGAGCGATATACTAGAGAAGTAACCGTTTTAATACTATCATATATCAGTATCTTTATTAGTCCTCCAACTACATGCGACAATAAACCTCTTGCCTTTATAAGGAAGCGTCAGGACACAATAATAAATCAGAGACCATTTACCTGGGGATGACACAGCACCTGTCTCAGGTATAACTCAACTGTATTTAAGGAGGTATTTACACGGAAAACACATCCTCATGAAAATACAGAAGAAAACTGAGCATGCGTCATGAGTGGTAAGGTGCTTGTGAAATGAAGCACAGCACCAAAAACAAAGTGAAAAGTGCATACCGTTTTGTTAAACCTCTTTAATTTAAATAACCAAGAATAAAGACCATTTTTTTCTTTGATGATAACAATTCTTAAAGTTTTTCAACAACTTCTACTCCTGTTCAAACTTTTGATATCCAAATATTGAAAAGGAATGCTAAATATTAAAAATAATTATGACTCATTTAAATTAGAGATTCCACTGTATTACCCTCCAAGTAATAGTTTTTCATAGTTAAACTGCTGAACGTAATTTCACGTCAAGAGGTGGCCATTACCCAGAAGACCCTCACTTAACCTAGCAGAATTTCAGGGTGTCTACATTTTCATTTTTACTATGTCTTTTAATAAATTAATTTGGTTCTGCATAATTAATTATGATGCCAAGTTCCCAATAAACAATGTGGAGCCAAATTGCCTTCCCCTTTGAAGACTTTCAGGATAGGAGATAACTTTGAGCTCAAGGTATAAGGAATGCTATTTGCTACCCTTGGCCTTGTCACTTGAACAACTATCTGAGGCTATCAGAGCAAAGCATCTAGAATCCAGAACACGCAGAAGTTAAGTCCGACTCAAACAAATTCTATTTTCTGAAGCACATACCTGGCTGGTCCACAAAGAGTGACGTCAATGGCATGGTTTTCTGATTTTTTATTAAGAGAGTTGACCACGGACTGTTGCCATCTGAGAGAGGTCTTATTCTACAAGAGAAAGACGTTTATTTCCATATAATAGGACCATATAACAAATTAGGTACTAATAAAGCAAAATAAAACCTTAAAATGAGAGAGAAAATATATCAGGGATTTTTTGAAACTACTTAACTAAATAATAATTTAGTAGGATAAACTCATCCTAGAAATTAAAATCACATTCATGTATCTCTGTTTTATTCTAATTTCTTCTTCAAAGTTGTCTGTCTGATGCAATAGTTAAAAAGGCCCTGCCATTTGTCACAGTGCACCTGGAACTGCCAGGTGTCACGCACGCACCTTTCTTTGCAGTCAGTTCTTTCCTTCATTTGAATTGAATTTGGTCCCCAGGTACAACCTTTTTTCCTGAAATTCCTTTTTACGTCTTCAAATTCTTCTTGTCGACAGACCGTGTTCCGTCCCCAAGTTTTATTGCTTTCATCTGAAGTCACTAAATAGAGAAAAGCACTCATTAATCAATTAAAACATTTTAAAGTCAATTGCATCAAATCAGTTGTAAAACTACATTACTCAAAATATGTAAACATTTAACATTGCAACCAAAAAGAAAACAGAAGAGCCAATCAAAGGAAGGAGGAGGAAGATGAAACTGAGTGATTGTTGCTGACTCATTGTGTGGTTCGGATAAACTCCTGTCTAATTATCTCCCAGTTTAAAGCTTTTGCTGCTCTACTCAGCCACTCTCCTGGAAATAAAAATTGCTGACCCAGGCCTCTCTGATTCCAGCGTATACATATGCGTACCACTCCACAGTTGCCGAGTTAGGTCACGTTTCGTAACGGCGCTGTGTCTCTTTGGAATCACGACAGGATCCACTTGATGGAGTTGTTTTGAGAATTAAAGGGACTAACGCAGGGGAACAGCTTAGAATGGTGCCCAGCCCATAGCAAGTGTTTGGAGGATGCTCCCCGCTGCTGCCATCGCTCGGAGCTCGGGCACGGCGCCTCTCCTAACCCACCTCCGACCCGCCATCACTGCAGAGAGTCGGCAGAGCCCTCTGGGCTGTCGTTCGTCATGCGGACTGACGGGGGGTGGCGGGGGACTGGGTGGAAGGGGGGAGCGCTGCTCAAAATCCCCGTGTATCGATCAACTCGATGGAAAAAGAGCTCCAAGATTACTGTCCATTTCATTATGATACTGTTACTGGGAAACACGCCCAGGGTGCGCAACGGAGCAGGTTCCTGGATTAAGAGGAGGCTGTGCGGCCGCCTGTTCCACTGTTTGACTCTATTCAACACCAGGGAAGAGGCGTGTGTGCCCACAACCATAATGCGTACCCTGAAACCTGAAATTCTCAGAGGATTAGCGTCCTTCCGCGCACTTACAACTGATTTAGGAATCACTGTGGAAAATGGCTACTGTTACTATACACTTAGAAACACAATCCTGTAACAAACCAGATGTTCTAAAAACACAGTTTAAAACATTATGACATTTATACTCTATGGCCATAAAAAATGAGGTGCAGATAAAAAGACTATAATGTTTAGCCCTGGTTGGCGTGGCTCAGGAGGGTGAGTGCCGGCCTGTGAACTGAAAGGTCGACAGTTCGAGTCCCAGTCAGAGCACATGCCTGGGTCGTAAGCCGTGTTCCCGGCTGGGGGTGTGTGAGAGGCCGCTGAGTCATGTTTCTCTGCCTTTCTGTCCTTCTCCCTTCCCCTCTCTCTAAAAATAAATACATAAGTAATCTTAAAAAATAATATATAATGTTTGCATAAAACATATATATATAACCCATTTGTCATTAAAATTTAAGCATATATATATATATATATATATATATATATATATATATATATGTGTGTGTGTGTGTGTGTGTAGGAAAATCAGATTAAGGAATGTAAGACTAAATTTTGTTTTCCAAACAGTAGGGACACCTATTCAATGCCAAACGCTTAGGTACAGCCAGCTATGAAGGCACGTCGGCTTCCGCGGATCTAGTGACAGAAAGGCACAGGGAAGCCCGGGGTGGGGAGGGCGCTCACACTGTATGGCCCGGAGCCGAGGGATCACCGTGGGGCTGCTGGGCGGGCTGGAGCCGCTGCTGTTCAGGCTCCTCCGTTTGTCCAGGTTGGGAGACGCCTGCACGGTTATTTTGTGCTGGAAATCTGTTCGATGGGAGAAAAAGGAAGAATTGAGATTTCATAGTTTTATTTTTACAGCCACATCTTTAGCGCATAGCAATACAAGCAAAAATGGCCGGACTTAGGTAAGAATGACGTGTATCCTGGGATCTGTTCCTTAGCTTCTCATTTATCTGCCATTTAGGGTTCAAGTCAGTAATGATTCAGCATCTGTGTTAGGTACAATGGAGACACACCCAGACATGCACTCAGAGAAATGGAAGATTATTAAGTGCTTGTCGATCATAAAACTTTCCGGGAAGAGCCGCCTTCATCTAGGCTGACACTGTTAAAAACAAAATGGCAAAAGAAGGCTCTGGATGTAAATGATTACATCCTGGCCTGTGATTAACACACTACAGACCCCAAACCAGCAGGAAGCCTCCCCAGTCTGCCTCCTGAGCCAGCCATTCCAGGCAGCAGCACTCAGGGTTGCCGTGGCGACTAGTAGGCTACACTGCAACGCAGGATGCACTGCCCGCAAAGACACTCCGTACCCTGTCGCATTGCGACGCGACTGCCCCACCCTTCCTCACACCCCCATAAAAATACTCCGGTCTCACTGCTTCTTTGGGTTTCCATTTCCTTATGTAGGCTTTTGTGTCCCATAAAATTTACATTAAGTAGATTTCTCTCTCTTTAAAAAATTTTTCTGCTTTTCCCTGTTGATGTCTTTGTTAGTTTAATTTTCAGGCCCCGCCAGGGACCCTCAAAGGGCCAAGAAGAACTTTTCCCTCCCCTACAGCTGAAAGCATTTTGTGGTCCAGGCATTGTAGGAATGGTGGTCTCATCACCTGACTGTAAGAGGGGTAAAGACAGAGATGCAAAGAACTATGGGAACATATGAGAGGCAGAGGAATACTACCAAAGGGAAGAGGCGACCGTCTGAGAAAACTTAGTAAACTGTCAGGAAAAAAAACAAACAAAAAAAAAAAAACAACCCTGAAAACTCAGACACAGGTGAAAGAAATCACTGGGAGTTCTTTCAGTGCCTTAACCTTTGATTGATTTTCTATTGACTGGGATTATTTTTACAACTCAGCTGGGGCAGAGGTTAACTTAAGAGATCTTGTCTGGTGATGATGCAAATAATTTCTGTCTGGCAAATAAAGACAATCCCAAAGGTTATGGTTTATTGCCTTATTGGGCATTAACCAGGTTTGTATTTAACTTAACAATCTCATCCTAAGCGTCCTTTATTAAGTGGCCCATAAATACCTAGTACCTCTAACGCTATGAGAACCAACTTCAACAGGTTCCCTCGTAATCAGTGAGTTGAATGAAAGCTTTGGCACGTGTTCATTTCATATTGGCAGGAGAACTGTAGTTTACCTTTTTGAAAAGTATACTTTAAGGAACCACCTGGTATTTGAAATAAGGAACTAGAATCTGGTAGGCAAGACAGCTATCCAGCTATCCCTAGAAACCTGAAAAGTTTTCTTGATTTATCTTCTCCCTGGCCCTCCCTATCAAATCAAACACAATGTATCTTGTACATTCTGTGGCATATGTTCTTCTTTCTCATAGTTATAGTTGAGAAATTCATATTCTAGATTCAGGAGTTGGCAAACTTGGGTTTAAACCCCGGTTTACCACTTACTAGCTATATGAATTTTGGGAAAGCACACAAACCTCTTTGTCCAGTATGTTCACTTAGAAAAGTGGGGGAAAAAATCACTATTCCTACTTCATAGGACAGCTATGAAAAATTAAATACAAAGAAATATAGGAAATACTTATTTTGCTGTGTATAAGGCACATTATTATACTCATCATTACACTCATGGTATATAATCATTATACCCATGTATCCTTATTTTTCCCTTAAAAACTTTGGCAAAAAGTGCACATTATACAGAGCAAAATGCGGCACTTAGCTCAGGGCTTAGGACCGAATAAACGCTCACCACATGTCTGATTCTTCTTGTTCTTCCGGGGACAACCAGCCTGCAGCCTGCACATGGCCCAGGGGGGCTACGCATGCAGCCCAACACAAAATCGTAAATTTACGTAAAACCTCATTTCTGTTCATCATGTTTTGTTAGTGTTCGTGTATTTAATGTGTGGCCCAAGACAGCTGTTCTTCTTCCAGTGGGGCCCAGAGACCCCAAAAGGTTGGGCGCCCCTGGTACCATCATTTACGTCTTTAGAAGGCCTTCCAAGATCTTTGGCCAGGTCACATCCCTCTGCTAATCATGGACATATGCCTTTTCCCTCACAGTAGTTAATAATTATAGCAGGAGAATAAGTATTTGTTTAATTATTAGCTTAAGGCTCACCCCGGCCCCAACACAACGCCGGCTCCGCTCGAGCAGAGGCCGCCCGGTCTCCAGCGCGGCGGCGGCTGCCCGTCCACGCTGGCGCGGCGCCTCCCACGTAAAGGGCGCAGTCGAGCTTCGCTCAACAGATATCTCCTCTGTTTCAGACTTTAAGTCCCATGAGGGCAGAGATCACGTTTATCTTACTGTACTCCCTAGTGCTTGGTTCACGGGTGTTTGCTGGATGAGAAAACTGTGCGAGGTTTGTAATACGTTCAAACTGGTGCTCGCAGGTAATTGCTAAGGATTATGCGGCAGCGTGGAGGGGGGGCTGGGAGACAAAGCAAGAGGAAATGCAGTACCAGATGTGGGGCTCCTCTCTACCAAGCGGGAAACCACGAAAGGCGTGAGCAGGCGGAGCAGCGTAAGCGGGAACGAGAGAGCACAAGTCCGCGGGACGCGACGACAGACGGCACGGGGCGGGGGGACGAACACCCGCACCCACAGGTGTGACGCACTGCGTCTTGGACTGCAGTGCTTTGTGAAACGTCGGCTAGCCCCACGATTTGTCATAACACAATGGAAGCAAGTCCTCGGTGATTTTTTGTTTTTTCCTTAATAGGAGGAGCCTCCCGCCCAGAGGAGAAGGCAGGTGTGTTCTCACCAGGCTCAGGCCTGGAATGCGGGACTGGGCCACAGCGTTTAAGGGGCGGGTCACGGGGAACTAATGATGGGAGAGGGGACACTAAGCCCCCTCCCACCGAGCCTCCCAAGTGAATCAATGACTATAATGGCGATGACACAGTCACAACACAGGCGGAAGAGAGCTGATGCAGCTAAGAGCTGGAGGAGAGGCCTCCCAGCGGGTGCCGCTCTGAATTTTTCTATCATCCACACCTGAAAGGAGAGGCCTCCTCATAAATAGACTAGACTGTTCTACACTACGTCTGACATAGACACAGTGCAGTCGGTGTCCTCCGACTTGAAAGCCCACATCAGAAGAGAACCTGGAAAAGGCGCTCTGTCTTCCCCCCAGAGAGGGCCCATAGACGAGCCTCACCTCATCCAACCAAATAAATACGCGATGCGGGACTGTGAGCACCCACGACGACCCATACCGGCAGTTAGCTGGTCACTTGGGGATTTCTGAAATAACCTACAAAAACCCCACACCAGGCTGCAAGGCTGCCAGTCTTTTGTAATAAGTATTTTTATAGCACAACTTATACATAATTTATGTAAAACCAAACTGGTGTTATTATCACTTAAATCAAATCTCCATGCCATTAACAAACATCTTAGAACACGAGAATCCATAAAACACTCCAACATACAAAACGCACAGAGAAATAGAGAGGCACATGGACACAGCCTTGCAGATCATTAATACATACTTTATAAAGGGCAGCCAGCCTCACTCTGCTCCCACTCCTCCCTGTTAGTAGGGAAAAAAAAAATCACAAAATCCGGACGGCATGTGGTTTTTCCTTAAATCCAGTATAAAACATACTGTAAAATTAATTAATTTCATAAATATGTGTTTGCTTTCTTTTAATGCTGTTTAGCTTCTCCTCACACAGATAAATCCCTTTAGGTTATCACCACCATGATTTAAAAATATTCTTTAAAGCTTCCCTAGATTTCCTGGTTCGTTTTTAACCCTGCAGATTTTAAACCCTCAGAGGGAAGCAATTAAAGGGCTTGACAGAGTGTGGGGACGGTGCAGACGGCACCCTCCGCGTCCTGAATGAGCGCGGTTACGAGGGGACACTGCAGATCGATCCTGCGGAAAAAATAAACCTGAGGTGAAACAGCGGTCGTGGTCCTGGGTGTCACAGGCCTTGCGGCGCTGGCTCAGCGCAGTCAGTAGCAAGGACTTCTCCTGATTTCAAAGGTGCCAATCGACTAGGCTATGTAAGACGGTCCTCGGAGAGGCGAACACTCAGCCTGAGATGCACCGTGATGCGTGCCCGGTGCTGTTTCACACGGGGAAACTCACCAGTTCATCACGCGATGGCCACGAACTGGAGGAAGCAACGGAAGGTACTTAACGTTTGAGAATCTCATTCCCGGTCTCTCCCCAGTTCTGATGACACCAAGCGCCTGATGACGGGGTGACAAGGCAAGAGCCTTGGGAGACACGAAGGCAAAGTCCTACCTGAGGGTAAACTGATCCGATGTCCATCTTTGAGCTTTAAGCGACTTCTCTTGAACTTTCCCTTCCTCTTCTTGACCTTGGGCTTCTCCTGGTTCAGCTGGAATATGAGGATGTTGAGCTCGCGCTCCAGCACGTCGATCTCGCGCTCTGCCAGCTGCTGCTCCCGCCGCTTCAGCAGCTCCTCCTGCGACTTCTGCTGCAGGGCCGCTCGGCTCAGCTCCTCCTCGCGGGACCGCAGCTCCTGGGACGAGAGGGACACTGGCATCACCGCCCAGCAGGCCGCACGGGGCAGCGCTGGCTGCTGGCCACAGCCCCGGCAGCCAGGCCTAAGGCCTGTTGGCACGGCACCAGCCTAGACCAAACCAAAGCCTGAGCGCAGCGGCCCCTTCTCGCGCTTTTAGTTTTATGGTCCTAAAAGGCATCGCTACTTTTTAACTCGATTTTAACATTTCTTTCTCTTGCCTGTAAAATCACCTGGCACATAAAATGTATATTAACACGTAGCAACAAAGTGCAGATAGATGTGTGTGATCCAGTTTAAAATAAACCCAAAGTTAAAGCTTGGCTAATTAAAGGATGATTATTCTAGTTACAAAAGACTGCAGTTCAGGTTTCTTTACCTCAAGACTTCTTAGAGTATTTAAGAATCTCTCTTAGAGATTAAAACATCTTGGTAGAGAGATTGTGGGAAAGAACAAAGCTAATGTGTTAGGAGTCAGTTGAAGGCCCATCAGACATGAAAATGAGACATCTCTAAAATAAGCCAATGAAAACTATCTCCAGTTACAAAGAGCTATTCAGGACGCCATGGATGGGTGGCAAGTCCCACTTTATCCGATGTCATGAACAAGCTAACATAAGTCCCTTTGTCATGGTACTTTCTGATTAAAGTCTGACATCCTCCTGGTTTTGTTTTGGAATTATTGAACTTCTGAGAAACAGAAAGTCTAGGGACTGAGGGATGTATGCGCTTGTATTCCTATTTAAAGAGTTTACTCAATAGTGAAACTGAGAACGCGACAAAGTTTTTGAATCACATCCCCTTCTTATTTCATTTCTGCAAAGCGTTCCGTCCTTTCCCGGAGACAAACGTGGCCGTCGGTGCCGCAGGACGCTCTCTTCGGTTCCGGAGCCTCGCAGGAACCGAGGCGCCCGCAGGCTCGTGCCGGCCCTGCTCCACACACACTTCGTCTAGGAATCGCCAAACAACGAAGGCCCTCTTGGAGGCTCCGCTGGGAAGGCGGAGCCTGGGCTGTGAGCTGTGAGTGCTGTGCAAACACATCACCCTTTACACAATCACAACTACCCTGCAAAAAACCACACGCACACACACACAAACAAAAAACCGGCGCGTGAAAAAACTTGTAAGATGTGGCTCAGGGAAGAAACCACAGCTGAACCCGGGACAAAACGCCACTTGAGTCCACTAAGCCCTTGACCTTTGCCAGGGGGACTCAAAGAATAACTGGAGGCTGTGGGTACAGTTTCATGAGGGAAATAAACAGAAGTCTATCCTTCCACAAACAAGGACAAGACTATCAAGAAGAGGCAGAGGATTCCCTGGCCGCGTGGCTCCCTTGGTGGGAGCGTTGTCTCATACACAAAGAGGGTGCGGGTTCAACCCAGTCAGGGCACATACCCTAGGCTGCTGGCTTCCCAGTCGGGGCACATAAGAGAGGCAGCCGTTCAATGTTTCTCCCTCCCTCCCTCCACCCCTTCCTCTCTCTCAAAATCAGTAAACGTATCCTTGAGTGAGATGAGAATTAAAAAAAAAGAGAGAGAAAAGGAGGAGCTCTAAAAACAAAACAAAAAATTATTTATTCAGATCAAATGAATTCTGAACTTACAGGAATTCTACCAAAGTGGACTGTAACTCATCTTTGAAACAGTCTTTAAATGTATTTTCCTAAACAAACTTCATAACCAAAATTACTGGAGCAATGATTTCCTTAAGACCGATTGATATTCAAACCACGCCTGCTGATGTGCAGCAGCGGATTCTTATTTACAGAGCAGGTCGGCATTTCTTCATAAAATTGTGCCAGACGCAAACTATCTCGCGCCGCTTGAAAAGAAAATATTACATGTTTTTTGAAAAAGTACGGAATGCATTATTTACGGAATGGGTGGCTTTCTCCAACCAGTTTATCCAAACTGGAGATTTTACCACAGTGTACTTGGGGACAGAGGATAATTTCCAGTCACTTCCAATTTCTAATTCATTACTGTATGCCCTTTTGTTAAGCTATTACTTTTCAGTGGTGCTGATATCAATCCAATTAGCTATTGTGAAATGAAATGGCATGAGGAAGAGATAAGGACGGCACATTCAATCAGGGGTTTTGTTTGTTCCTGTTACAGTAATTGAATGAGAAACCATTTTTAATTCCAGGTCCCGAGCTAAAATGTGAATCTCCCGCTACGACTTGATGAATAAAAGCAAAAAAAAAAAAATCACTTGCCTAAGATTCATAAGAGAGAAAAAAAAGTAAGGTCAGAGAGGAAACAGACCAAGGATTCTTCTTTCTGAATGAATTTAAAAACAGTCACAAGTAAAAGGAAAAAAAAAACCCATATGGGTTATTAGAACCCCTTTGAATTCTTTGAAATTATGAAGCACACACAAAATTCTTTCGGTTGCCAAGATTACTAAGTAGTAATATTTGTTTAATTGCTTGGCACAGCCCATTCTAATGGCAAATCCAGACTCCGGGTGGGGATGGTAATCATTAACAGTGACATGCCTCCCTATAGTGGTTCAAAGACACTCTGCTCGCCCAGCGCACAAAGGCAGACACTCAGAGATAAGCAGCCAGGAATTCAGGGAGGAACCAGTATCTGTGGAGGCTGCAGTTTACTGAGTAACACAGAGCGCGTTACTGGCCATTAACCCAAGTCTGACGCCTCCTACCGCGAGCAGTCAGTGAACGAGAAAGGAGATAGGGCACGCTCCGCGCTGGACCCCAGCAGCAAGATGCGGTTAGAAACCTCTGAGCAAAAAAAGAAAGGATTATATAGGCTTTGATTGTAAATTGCAGGCTCACAGGAGACCAGGTAGCTGAGTTTCAAGGAGCACTGCGCAAGTCACCCTAGAAAAAACAAGGACACTGGTATGTTCAGGACAGCTAAACAGATTCAAAGAATGTCAGCAGGACCACTATAAAGCCTCAAAACGGAGAAGGAGCAGAACCCCCTATAAAGCACGCTTTTCGGTTTCTACTAAACACAGAAAATAAGACTTAACTCACTAGATGTACCTCCGCCAATGTAATTGTCATTAATTAAAAATAATTAAATAAAATAGTTTAAAATGACAATTATTAACATGACTTCCAAATTTGAAAATCTGTGATTGCAAGTTTTATTTTTCCTGATTTATTTTTCCTGAAAGTCCTCTCCCATTCCCCGAAATCATTTTTATTTTTGCTGTCAAAAATCTAACTTTAGAATTCCTGAAAACAATTTGGGGAAGTGTTAACAAAAAAAAAAAAAAACCCCATCAGAGTCTTTTCTATATTGTTTCAAGTCAACAGATTTTATTCAAGTTTCCAAGAAACATACGAATAACATCACGGACAATAATCCCTCAGAGAACTGCGGGATTTAAGAAGTAAGCCGGTCATTTCCCCGCAAAGCCACCGCGTTCTTTGTTCCAAGGTTAACACTTAACACTTGGAAGAGGCAGCTTTGCCTGAGACCCGTCCTGGGGCACTTAAGGGTGAGGAGGCGAGAGCAGAGCCTGGGGCCGGCAGGCCGTCTGGCCGTCTGGCTCTTGCTGTGGGTCTCGCCCTGACACTAGGCTCCTCTAGACCCTGGCCTTCCCAGACAGACTTAACACTAGAAAGGGACAGGGGCTCCCGAGGATTTCAGAATCCCACGCGGACACCCCCGCAGTCCGTGTGAATGCCTGAAGGGAGAGGGGCCGTGTGCTGGAACGTTCTCAGTCTGGGGACCACATTTTAATCCCAGGAGCCCAAGAGGTCCTACCTCTGAATCGGAAACAACAGGAAACATAGTTCCTCCCTTGTCAGATTTGGCGGCAGCCCCGCGACCCCCACCCTTTCTGCGTCCGTTTCTGTTCTTTGTTCAGACGTCCAGGCCCCTCTCCTGCCTTCTGGCCGCAACTGGGCGGTGGGGATAAGAGCGGGGAGGGGACAGTGTTCTCGACAGAGGACAGACCGTATAGAAAGGCCGGAAGTCAAGAGAACCTGGAAGAAACTCAGAAGGGCCAGGGACAAAGCGAGGCTACCTGTGCAAGGGCGTGGGAAGCTGATGAGGAAACGGAGTGGCTGTGGAAGCAAGGATGCGGGGATCTGCGTGTGGAGGGGTTGCTGGCAGTGGCGACGGGAAGTTAGGGGAGCAAGACTGGATGCGGAGCAACCAGCTAGGATGCTGCTGCAGCGATCAGGTGGTATGAGGACACGGGGTTAGGAAAGCGAGTGACCACAGATGGTCTTTGCCACATAAGAGACCACGAGAAACATCTTCAGACACCTTTGAGCCTTGGTACCTAAGAGAACAGTAATCCCATTAACACAAAAAAGGAAGCAGAATGAGGAAAGGCGGGGGCGGCGGCGGGGCGGGTGCAGGGAGCCGGGAGAGGAGGAGGTCGTATTCAATGTTGGCTTACAAGTGTTGACAAAATAGCTCATGAAGCCCCTTTTAAACACTTGTCAACAAGATCCCAGTGCCCAGCCTGGTATTCAGAAGACCCCATTCAAGGGCACAGATGACCATATCCATCTGTGTGCCCCAGGACTCTAGCCCTGTCCCCAAAACACAGTAGGCATTCAATATATGTTGGCTGGAAAAAAGTTACAACACTGAAACACAGACAGTTTCCCCATAGACATGTTTTTAAAAAAAAATTTTTTTTTAAGAAAACAATTCGCACTTTGAGGACTCACTATGACAAACATTGCATTAATTTCCAATTCAGCAAGCTAACAAAAGTAAGCTACTCAAGGGTAGACTTTAGGCATAAGCTGTCTTGATGTCATGTTCAATATTATATATAGTATGTATAAATATATATTCATATATATGTATATACTGGCTCAAGAAATGGTTATGTTTGTATCTTCAAACCACAACTTTGTATTCTCTCTTTTGCCCTTTCCTTTGCACTAAGGTTGGCTAGAGGCCTTTAGGATTAAACTCAATGTGAAAGTCTAGAGATGGAATTCAGAGCCACACTACACAAGTCACGGTCACTTTACCAGGGGAGAGGGACACTCCGTTGCACCATCACCCATGTTTCGATGCCATAAATTGGAACAAGCAAACGCTCTTCATTTAGCACAGTATTATTGCCTAAAAAGAACTCTGCTACTAGAATCACAACTAGGTGAGGTATATAAATTCCTTCCTGGACAATGATATGGCTCTGTAATGCTTATCAGAAACTTGCAATGTTGTACTTTAGCCCATTTATTGCACCCACAACAGAAGTCAGCCTTTTGATCTGTTGGTCTGAAGTCAACAGTTTACACTTCAGACCAACAGAATAAACCTTGATTCATCAAAATGCTCTAGTATTACAACCATGTCTTTAAAAAAATAAGCACTGCTTCCAAAGCACAGACCCATGCCTTGACCTGGGGGCTCTTCGGTGACCAGTGACAGTCACTTGTCGTCTGCCGAAGGAGACCGTGCTAACTGAACTCACTTCCCAACAAGTCTGACTTCCAGTTGGGGGTGTTTGCACTTCTCCTGTTTCACCTTGTGGGAATATCAACGCAGCTTCCACGCGTCCAGCATTTAGCTTTATTCTTTTCTTTTGCTTAAAATATATAAACCAACCTAAGCTTAACTCCTATTAAAAAGTTTGAAAGTTATACATTTTCCCAGTTGGTACAAAAAAGCAATGTCTTGGAGATAAAAAGAAGGGGACTAGCATAAAAGAGCATTTAAAAGACATAACATAGAGACTTTGTTTAAATTCTGGTGTGTACCAACCAACTCGAAGACCCATGAGACACATTGAGATAGTTGAATATGGAATATTACATGGTGTCAAGGAATTACTATTACTTTTTAAGATAATAATGACAAGAAAGTTATTTTGAAAATTCTTACTAGTTAGAGGTGCAAACTGAAGCATTTAAGGGTAAAATGATGTGAGTCTAGGATTTAACTAAAAATGCTCCAGTTAAAAAAGAAGATAATGGGGAAATAATTTTTTTTTTTTATTTTCCAATTCCACATTTCAAACACAGTTGTTCTGTTTTAACTGGAAAGCAGGAATCAATACATACTAATGTCTGAAAACATCTTAGAATAAAGTTAATGGTGGTTCTTGACTCATAGTTTCCGTAATTTCCATAAACACGAGTGTATGAGGCAAGTTATTAGATATTGCTCACCTTTTCCTTTGTTCTCAGCTCATCGAACATTTGTTGAATTTCCTGCTTCCAGTCGTCTTGCATGGAATGAAAAGATTCCTGAGGCATTTCAGTCATCACGGCCCCTTCGATAGCCGTCAGCTGCTCAAGAATTAGGGGGAACGATGGGCGGACGTGAGGGTCTTGCTGCCAGCATTCTAATAAAATAAATACGAATCTCATTAACGCAGGGTTCACGTTCTGAAATAAGCAAGTGTCTCACTCACACCATTTCTCAGCAGAGTTCGCATTATCAGCCCATGTGGACAGATCTGCTGAGGATTTTAAAAATTCCACTGATAATGATTTGAGAATTTTGCTACACACAGTGTTCCTACAAGTGGCATGCACAATAGTCACTGTCCGGTAAGGCTCTTGAGGCGGCCCCACCACGTCCACTGTTTCCTTTAAGATCCCGCGGACCTCCGACCCACGGCTGCCGCACCAAGTACTTAGTGTTCCTGGAGGTACTCCTCTCCCCGCAGCCTCCAGGCCTGCAGCAGAAGAACCTACAGTCCCTGCAGCCGCGGCGACGGACTGGAATACGTCCTGCACAGACTGCTGCAGATATTTTCCTAAAGCATGGCTCGGAGTGGCTCATTATTCCGAGAGATCGTGTTGGAAGTTGTTACTATCTTCTACTTGGAAGACAGGGTTACCTTTCAAAATAAATATTGGTGGTGCCGTAAAACTGCAATGAGGCATTTCAAATACTATGAAAACACCAATAGCTGATGAAATAATGAGACATGACTCGCTGTCCCTTGTTATTTTCACTTCACGTGAAGAGGGAATGCGCATGCACTGAGCGCACCCTCTTCACAGAGATCTTAGCGTTTCGTTGCTACTGCGCAGAACACACAGTCAGTTCATCTGCGGTGAATGGGTTATCCAGCTGTACTTCATTGCTGGAGGATGTTTCTGATAACTCCTGAGAACATTTGGAAGATTAACTTTATTGACTCTATTTGTCTTTAAATTAAAATTTTATTTATTTATTTAAATTCTCACCTGAGGAGATATTTATTGCTTCCAGAGACAGAGAGGGAGAGAGAACATCAATGGAAGAGAGAAGAACATCGATGTGACAGAGAAATACGGTTGCCTCCCGTATGCACCCCGACCAGAACTGAACTCGCAACCTCTGCTTATGCCCTGAGTGGGGATCGAACCTGCAGCCTGTTTGTGTACGGCCTGATGCTCCAACCGAGCCACACTGGCGATGGCGAAGGTAAAATTTTAAAAGGATTATGGATCATACACGACAGGTTGCTTGATGGGATCTGGCTTGCAGACTCAAAAATAGTTGAATTCTTAATTATATACCCTTTATGCTAAAGGATATAGACATGGCAAGGAATACTTAACTGCCTTAACTTTATATCATCTGGATATTTTTTTAAGTTTCAAGCTTACAGTTTCATGTAAATTTTAATTTAATATTAGAGAGCCCAAAACTGAATTTTTTGACCTAGCCCTTATGTGTAAAATTGGTATCCCACACCAAAGAGTTTTAACTATGATCTTGCAGAATCCAATACTTGTAATGGTAAGAACTGAAAATAAAGTAGAAGCATCCTACTTTAAAAGGATTAAAGAAGCATTCCTTTATCAGCCTCTTTTCATACAGACTTTAAGACAGGAATTCTCAGGAAACGTTGCCTTTCTCAGGAAAATATTTCCAAACTGCCCTCAGGAAGAGACTGTTGTTAAGATCTGATGTTCACAAGAAAGCTCCAGAAAATGCTAACAGGAAATGCTGATTAACTGTACTCGTGGAGGGCCCAACAGTTAAGAAAGTGTGGAGAGGAGTCAAGAGAATAAGGAGCCAAGGAAGAGAGGCGGGGAAGCCCAGGCTTCCAGTGAGGAGGGAAGAAACAAGACAGCAGTGAAGGGGACAGAAAGCTGTCACAAAGCGTCACAGAAGGAGCCAGGTGGGGAGGCGGAAGTGCAGGGGCTGCGCTGCTGCGCGAGCCACAGGGGACACCGGACATTGTCACAGGAAACGGAAGACAAAGCAACACACAGATTTCAAAATTCCCTGTATGAGACTCTAAAGAATGATAGGCATGAGGGGTGATTTTTTTTGTCCTCAAAGAGGAAATCAATGTCTACTGAAATCTTTAAAAGTGAAAAGAAGGCTCATAGTGATTCAGAACCAGTGCTCGATTTGCTGTATTTTGAATGTTTTTTTTTTAATGTATTGATTTTTCGAGAGAGAAACATCAGTTAGTTGTTCCATTTATTCACGCATCCATTGGTTGATTCTTGGACGCACTCGGACGGGGGGGTCAAACCACAGCCTTAGCACATTGGGATGACACTCAAACCAAGAGACTTCCGGGGCGGGACCTAGATTTGCCGCGTGTTCGACGGCGAGCTCTCTGGGGCAGGCCTTGTGTCTATCTTGCTCTTTCTAGACCTGGAGATGCAGGAGGCTTTCAAAAACACTCGCTAAATTATTCATGAATAAAAGAGCCCAATTTTTATGTCAGCATGTTTCAGCATCTTCCCTATCATAGGTCCTATGTTCATTGGGGAAAAATGGATAAGAAAATGTAACAAAATCAGCATCTGATGGGTGACACCGGTAGTTAAATTTAAGAAATCAACCAGATACTGTTTATATATTTCATAACTGAATAGTGAGATTCTGAATTGTAAAGGGAAAAATAAATCTTTGCTGAGATAGAAAAGTATACTTCTGATGTTTGAGACCCCCTGGTCCTTAACAATATTAAGTCTCAGTTAACCAGAAATTTATGAATACCCGTTTCCTGAATTTTTTGTTCAACTTCAATTCCCCCTACCTGTTTCTAGCACAAAATCTGCCTGTTGGGTTACAGAAGTAAGTTGATGCTATCCTGTAAACATAAGATAATTTTTTAAATATTTTTGTTCTTTGTTTCTGAAAATTTTATTGTAGCAAGGTCAAAAACATTTTCTTAAAGCATTAGACATTTTGTTATAAAATAAATGTGATTTTTTTTTTAAGGTAAGGCTCTTGTCCTCTGTAGTCTATGACATTAATATGGGGACGTGTGTCTTCCATGCCTTGCCATGAACTCTGTGTGTCAGGGCTGAGCTGCCCTGGCCGGATGATGTACGGATACGGAGGTCTATAACTCAAACCAACGACACCAGAGTCTCTAAAGTACTATCATCACAAAGAGGTCCAAAGCAAGAGTCCGACAATTAAGGTAATTTGTTGCTTACAGAAAGAGTTGGTTAACTTTTAAGAGATAAAGATCAAATACATAAGGTCAGAGCAAACCATGCCAGGTAAGATTGTAAAACATTTTTGATCCTTAGGTAAGCCTTAAAATAGCAAATCTGGAGCCAGCTCAATATCACCTTTGAATCCTACTTGGTGAAAACATTATTACCATTCAGTTGAATTTTGTACATAAGCGAGTCACTGATAAAACTGGTCTGTTTCTAAATTACTTACTTCGACAAAATTTTCCCTGAGACCTTAGATCAAAGACAAGGTTTCTAACTCTGAAACAGTGTAAGCACTTGAAAGAGCTTGAAAATTAGAACCACAGAAATTTCTTCCTTGGTTAAAAAAATACAGATATTCTAATGAGCGATTCCCCTCGCCCCCACCCACACGCAAAGGCGGGGCGCACGAATACCTTTCATCAGCTTGGCGAAGGGCTCCGGGCAGGTGGATGGGATGGGCAAGGTGAGCTTGTTGACCGCCACCCCGTAGGCCACGGCGAGGCCATCGATGCCTCGATAGGGGACTTCTCCCGTGAGCAGCTCCCACAGCAGAACGCCATAGCTGGAAGGCAGTGTTGTCAAAAAGTGAGTTCCATGGGTAACCTGTCTTTCCCCTCTGGCACAGCTGGTGGGACAACTGTATCAGTATCTTCCTCCAGCTGCCAGTAAGAAAGAACCTTCTCTTCCAACAAAGCGGCCCTCACCTGAAGGTGAGAGGTTAAGGTCTCAAATATATTCATTCCCGGACATCAGCAAGTTGCGCTTTCATTAGAGGAATTAAAACCGCCAAACGAACAGGAAAGCTCAGGTGCAATGATACTGAATTAATCAGGATCCACAGCGAGGCCGCATTTCGAGAGTAACGTGCTTGTTCTGATGTTTCTCCTTCTAGCTCACGTTTCCCACACCTCGATAAAACCTCGTGAGGACTGGCAGGACATGAGATGCGTCCCACATATACCTCATGCTATGCACCACAGGACTCAGATCGAATTGTGTTGACTTAGGGATTTTTAAATAGTTTGTTGAAATTGTTTATCTTTCTGCCTCTCACTTCCTATTTTAGGAGCTATGTTAAGAATGTGTCCACCAGGCAGCTTAATAACAACTGACCCAAGAAATCAGGTGAGCCTCCCTGTACCTGCTGGAGGCTCGTCATGTGCGAACTTTGTAGGGAGGATGGCGAAGTGAGACAGGAGGGAAAAGCCAAGAGTGGCTGTAGCTGCTGCCATGCTCTGCAAGCATCGCCAGGTGTGACCCAGGTTCATGGCTGCGCCAGGTCGTCATGGGCAAATGCAATTACAAATAAGGAGAGAGGACACAGTGGAAGAACTTCTAAACCAATTGTTTATTTTTATTTATTTTATTTTATTTTTAGAGAGAGGGGGAGGGACAGACAGAAACATTGATGTGTGAGAGATACATCGATTCGTTGCGTCTTGCACGCCCTCAGCACAGGACCTGACCTGCAACCCAGGCATGTGCTCTGACTGGGAATCGAACCAGGGACCTTTCGGTTCAGAGGCTGGTGCTCAATCCATGGAGCCACCCCAGCCAGGGCTAAACCAATTTTTTAAATGCAGCTGAAGAACTGAATTTCACTCCACAGTCACGCCACAGACTCCAGCAGGGGTATCCAGCCATTTGGCATCTCTGGGCCACACTGGAAGAATAAGAGTTGCCTTGGGCCACACATTAAATATATTGTGACACATAATCGCAAACGAATCTCATAATGTTTTAAGTAAATAATGTTTACGATTTTGTGTTGGGCCGCATTCATGGTCATCCTGAGCCGCACGCGGCCCATGGGCCGCAGGTTGGACACCGCTGCTAGGACAACACAGAGGAGCCTGGAAATAAGTTTGCACATTATATATATTTAACCTCTCCTACAAGACTGGTCAGTACCTTAGTTTCCCTTTATCTTCTTCAAAGCGTGAAGTACACTCCAATTACCTTTTGTTAGTACACACACACACAAAAATCAGTCACTCCAGAGGACTCCCTTGACTTCAAATTGAAGCCCATAAGCATATGAGAAAGTCCTATTTACTTTCTTTTTTATTTCTATTAAGATAACTAGTACAGTCCTACAGTCCTGTTTACTTTTCTAATCCTTTCTGATGTTAGGAGACGAGGGGCTCACCAGGTCACAAAGACAATGTAGAAAAGGCTCCCTGTGAGGAAGACCCGCGCAGCAGAGAGCCAGAGAGCCTCCGGATGGACAGACGGACGGAGGCTCAGACCATCCAGTATACAATGGCGTTTTATTAAAGACTCCTTGTGTGTGCGGGCTGGACTCTAGACCAGCAACATTCGCCCTATGCGTCACAACAATGTTTAAAACGTGCAACACCGCATGATTTAGTCAGGGGCACTGACCTCTTTTCCCTTGAATTGTCAAATAAAAAATGACAACAGCCAACACAACAATAGCCATCTGGTGGGATGAATCAAACTTACACCTATTTTTTTTTTTGGTCAAATCGGCAAAAAGTACAGTATATTTTTAGGTATGCTGCAGAATTTTGGTAGTTTATGTGTGCCGTGAGGTGAAAGAGCTTGAAAATCACTGCTTTAGACCGTAGATGGAGAACATTTGGAAAATAATGTAGAAACAACAGAGCGCGCCCAGTCCCAGGGCCTTGGGGACCCTCCAGGCGGGGTTCTGCTCGCCCCAGCAGAGGTGTGAGGCCCAAGGCCCGAGACCCGAGGCCAGGCCCCTGCTCTGAACAGGAGAAGCAGCCTCGCTGAATGACAAATGGATCTGGAAGCAGCAGACAGGAGGTGGAGCTTTGGGCGCATCCCTACCTACCGGCTGCGTCTCCACTCACAGGGCCCTTCAAGCTGACCTTGAGTTAACTCATCTATACAACACAGTGATATCCGCCTGACGCTCTCAGAGCACTCTTCTTCCTGTTTATTTTTAATTTTTTTTTTATTCTTTGCAATTTAGGTACTCAACGTATTTTTCAACTGCACTTAACAGACCATATTATATTAGCTTTGGGTGGAGAACGTGGTGATCGGACATTCGTATAACCTACGGAGTGATCACCCGGATCAGTCCAGGAGCCAGAGACACCCTACGCAGTTAGGCCTTTTGACCATATTCCCTCAGCTGTACTTTACATCCCCTGTGACTACTTAATTACTTAATTTGTACTTCTTAATCCCTTCATCCTTTTTACGGCCCCCCCAACCCCCCTCCCACTTGGGGACTATTGGTTTGTTCTCTGTATCTGAGTTTGTTTCTGTTGTGTTGGTTCATTTATTTTTTTTCCAAAAGGAATATATAATGTAGTGGTACATTATATAATGCTATAACAATCAACAATGAAGTTGCAACCAATATTTTTCAAAGGATATCTGTTTAGTTTCTTGAAAATTAAATTCTTAATTTCAAGAATAAGTAAATTTAACTCACAGGTCAATCAAAATTCACCTCAGAGCAAGGGACCAAAGAACTCTTAGGGTAACTGAAAAGTGTCTAAATTCAAAGAAGTGTCCTTGCTATTCGATTAGCGGATAAGAACACAGAAACAAACGATATCAACAACATAGCTTTGTTTCTGGGAAGTTTCAGAGAATGACTAATTCAGGACATGTCATTTTTTTCCAGAGAGAAGAGGGCTTACCCAGGTAAAACCAAAGTGAAAAAAGGAACTGTATTTCTAAAGTGCAGGGCATATTTTCTGTTCTCCAAACCCAGGGAGGATACAGTGTACAGGAAGCCCTGTCCCGAGCACTCAGGAGCCTGAAGGTCAAGGGCTGAGGCAGCCAGAGGCTGGATCTCAGGCCTGGGATCGGACATCCCTGCTGGTTTTGCAACCTGAGGAACCTTCTTAACCTCTGAGTACCTTGGGTGCTGACTCTGTGAAACTGGGGTACAGGAGACGCTGTCCAAATCCAGGGAGAACATCTGTCTCTGTTACCGTGGAGCATAACATCTGGCAGGAGGGAGATGGGTGATGATCAGCAGGTGCGTTAGTAAATACACTAGCGAGCGTGCTGGCCCACAGCACAGCCCAGCATGTCCTGCATGGAGTCATTTCTATGGGAACATCGGGAAAGGAGAGCCGAAAGAAAAGTTTCAGGCAGGCCGAGGCGCTTCCTGCGCCTCCATCCGACGTCCCAGGGCGCCTTGCTCTACTAACGAATCCCCTGGCTCCAAAAGTCAGTAGGTTCCAGCCCTTTTCAGAGCCTTTGATGCTTTTTCCCTTCCTGTCTCTTTTGCTTCCAGCTGCCAGTTTTCACTATTCCCAGCTTAGCCTCCCCTCACCCCTCTTCTAATTAGCTGATTGTACTTAAAATCCAGTAATTCAGCTTATAAGACTGAGAATTAGAAATAAACAAATTTTGAGAGACAGCCTGTCCAAGAACTGTATAGACTCAAACCTATATTTTGGCTGGTTTTAGAATTTTTTTTTTCTTACCTCTTGATTCTCCCCTATGTTTACAATTAGGGTTGCCATAAAGCATTTATATAAACGAGACAGCATTTGCATAGCTTATAATTACCTGGTGTATAAAGGAAGCACATGAAATGACATGGTTGTAGTCTTAAGTAATATTTTAAATGTAAAATTGATTTTGATGTATTTTATTAGTTTTTAGAGTCTTGAAGTATGATTTTGTAGCAGAATCATCTATTTCATTTACATATTTTGGCATCGCAGGGTCAGAAAATTACTGTAATTAAATCAAGGAGAAAACATTCAATGTTTCATAAAGACATGTGTGCTCAGCCTCCTCTACGGAGCCTCATCATTAAGGCCCAGGCATTTCAGTTTTTCAAAGTGGCCCTTGGAGATTCTGGAATCCCTGACACAGTTGACAAATTTCTCAAAAGAACAATTAAATTATATTTTAAATGTAGAGGATGAGGTTTAAATTTAAAGGACTTTTTTGGAACTTACACTAGCAGGGTTTCTGCCACTGACTTGATATGTGAATTTGAGTCACTTCTGTCGCATCCAACAATTGAAGGGGGACCAGTTTTTGTTGGTCATGACTTTGGAAGTCAAAGAGCTGGACTCAATAGCAGTTCCTCTGCCACTTCTCAGATGTGAACTCTGAGCAAATGACATTTCCTCTCTCAGCCCTAGTTTTCTCTGATGTACAAATACCTTGGAATTTTAACCGCGATGAGATACCACTTCGTGACTACTAGGATGGCTACAATCAAAATGTCAGATAACAACAAGTGTTGGCGAGGATGTGGTGAAATCGGAACCCCTGTACTGGTGGAGTAGGACAGGGCGGCTGCTGGCAGCTCCTCAAATGATTAACCAAATATTTACCACACGGCCCCGCAATTAAACGCCTAGGTACACGCCCAAGAGGACTGAAAACATACGTCCTCACAAAAACTTGTTCACAGATGTTCGTAGCAGCATTACCCAGAATAGCCCCAAAATGGAAATGATCCAAATGCCCATCAACTGATGAACAGACAGACAAAATGTGGTCTATCCAAGGAAGGGAGCCCTGGCTGGTGTGGCTCAGTGGATTGAGTGCCAGCCTGCGAACCAAGGGGTCACTGGTTCAATTCCCAGTCAGGGCACACGCCTGGGTTGAGGGGCCAGGTCCCCAGTAGGGGGCGTGCAAGAGGCAATCACACATTGATGTTTCTCTCCCTCTTTCTCCCTCACTTCCCCCTCTCTAAAAATAGATAAATAAAGTCTTTAAAAAATATTTTTAAAAAAGGAAGGGAATTTTGTCACATACTGTAATGTGGATGAACCTTGAGGACATTATACTAATTGACAAATGCCAGTCCCAAAGGACCACATATTCTTTGATTTCATTTAAATGAAACATCCAGAATAAGCAAACCTAAAGAGACAAGAGGAACATCAGTGGAGGTCTGGGAGGGATGTGGTATTGGGGATGATGGCTGAAAGGTGTAGTTCCCATTTTGGATTATAAAAAAGTCCTAAAATTTGTTTGTGTCGTATTAAATACTACAAACCATCAGGTTATGCAATTTAAGTGGGTCCATTGTATGACATGTGAATCATATCTCAATAAAGCTGTTAAAAAACAGAAGAGAGGACTGGGATTTTAATACACCACAATTAATTTTTAGAATCTTTTCAAAATCCAAAAGCTTTTACATAGGATTTCATAAGCATTAGATGAAGGCATCCATCCGTGGTGGATGTACCTATTCAACAGAGTGGTTTCCCTCTGTCTCTCTGTTACTGGGCACCATCATCCCCAATGACACACAGTGGAACGGAAAACCCAGCCAACCGGGGGCCCCATTGGGGTCCAGCCTCCATTCTCAAACTGGGAGCTTTAATCTTTAGAAGATGCAATCCTTCTCAAACTCCTTCCATGCTACTCTTTTGTCTGGGAATCATGAGGAATCGAAATGTTGCTTGAAGGGACATCTTGGCATTACTACGAACTCCAATTATAACCAGTTTTAACGAAACCTCAGATATAACAAGAAGGTTCTCCTATCAAATGGAAGTCGTGGTGATAAAAACCTCAAGTTACCTGTTCCTCTGTGATTCTACGATCAAAACTCTAAAACCCTCTTCCAAAAGGCCTACATGACCCTTCAGGCTCAGGGCTATTTGGGATTTCCTCACAGGGCGGAGAGCAGCCAGTTCCTGCAGACGCCTGCAAAGCGACAGGCCCGGGGCTCACCTCCAGATGTCGCTGCCCTTAGAAAACAAGGAGGACTTGATGACCTCCGGGGCCATCCAGGCGTAGGTGCCGGCTGCGCTCATCCTCGTGGTCCGGTGCCACTCTCTCGCCAGCCCGAAGTCCGTTATCTTCAGCGTTTTATGGCAGAAGTCATCGTGCTCTATCTTTTCAAGCAGCAAAACTTAAAAAAAAAAGTGATACATTTCTATAAATATTTTATCATTTTCCACTCACATTTTTTCCCCTCAATATTTCCCACACGGTCTTCAGTGAAGTTAAGTTGGAAGAATAGGTGAGGATGAACTTGAACTTTACCATTTTATCTTCACCACCTTACATCGCCTATATCGTAACCTTTAGCGGCACGTTTGTGCCTGAAGTTGCAAGTTGTTTTTTTTAAAGTCCGCAGACACAGTGCAGCTTTATGGATGTTTCTCTTTGTGTGAAAATGATTTCTAGGGGCCAGGACCATTTCCTGAGAGCGTCGCAGGATCCCAAGTCCCTGCACATTTCCCTGACATACTGTCTCCTTCTAAGAAGTCAGGTCCTCACCTGACTGCAGTCTTTTCACTGAATGTATTAGAGACTCTCTCAAATAGATGACGTATTCCCCCACATTGTTTTCAAACATCAAATTTGCAAAATGCTTATAGATACTTTAACTCATGAAGAAATTTCACGAAGCAGGATTGCTTTACGGAAGCTCAAAATAGAGGAAAACGTGAAAGCTTTACGGAAACATTGTCCATTGCTCGCTCCCCGACCCTCAGCCTCCCGAAATAAACACCGAGTGCACAAGCGCAACCTTCCCGAGGGGCGCGGGCCCGCGAGCCCCAGGCCGGCAGGTGACAGCCGCTGACACAAGGCGCTTGCCCCTCTCCCCCTCCCTGCACCCCGGGTCCCCTCTCACAGGCCTGGCTCTCCGCTGCCTGGAGCCGTGCAGAACCGCCCCCAGGCTTCCATGAGGCTCTGCGGGCAGCTACTTACTCGTGTCCCTGCCTCCCATTTGCCACAAAGGGGGCTGTTTAACCCGCTGTGTTTTCTAACTTATCTCCTCACTCCACCCGGGAAACCCTGCATCGCAGCACGTAGCTCCGCTGTCTGACTCCGCACCTGAATGCTCCGCGAACCCCCTCCATCTCCCCGGCCACTGCATGACCTCTGGCCTCGCTGCTTCAAAACTGGAGAACAGCGCGAGACATCCATCATGTTTGATTTTTGGAGCATGATCATACAGGGAACCATTTCGCCAAATGTCAGTCACAGGGAAAATTAACATTTGACCCAGTCCATTCTATTTGTCAGGTGCACGTACAAGTATTTTAATCAGATCACCCACTATGACCCTATACGTATGCACTATTAATTACCTGGACTTGATAAGGATAAACCAGCCATGCTGAGTCATCTGTCCAAGGTCATACAGCGAAGAGGCAGCAGGGCTCCAGCAGCCCGACCCCAGAGGCCAAGGTCCTAACTGCTGTCTGCACCGCTTGGTTGGCAGGTTGCACCGATTTTTCACAGGGGAAACCTCTCTTTGTTTTGGGCCCGCGCTCCTTCCGATCTCCTGTCATTGGGCCATTATCCACTGAGGGCAGTAGAGTCGGGGCAGGGGGCGTGGCGTCTGTGCTGCCGTTTCCTGGCTGTCGTGGGGACTGTGATCATGTGCAACTCATAAGGCTGCAGTGAATGCAAAGTGCTTGGAACGGTGAAACGCAGTGAGCATTTCGTAAGGATCACACACACACACACACACACACACACACACACACACACTTTTATCACTAGGTTTGAAAGTGCTTTTAGCAAATCTTCAAAACCAATGTCCTCGATGTCAGGAAATACTAGATCTCTCGCAAGGCTTGAAATCTTGCTTTGCTAGGGCTTCACGTATTCGCCTCACGCCATCAAACATTCATAATGATGGTCATAAAGGTCAAAGAACTGATGCAGCTGGAGAGAACCAGACAGGTTCTCTATTTCAACAAGAAGAAATATTTGAGTGAGGACTTACCATATGTCTCTAATACTACGTAACTGTTGTTGTGTTCAATGTTTCTTTCTGCAAGCAGTCTTCTACCTGTGAGATTTAGAGGGCAAGGATCCCTGTTCTAGTTTTATATCCGCTACACAGTTGCCAAATCAGGTTTTAAGGTGGTTGTATGCTCATGGTCACACAGCTGGTAAGTAGCAGGGTCAAAATTCTACCATTTTCTCACTCGTACACTTAATGCTATACTATGCGGTGAAGGATGTGGGAAGTTGGGGGGGGGTGCACTTCTGTAGAATAGCCTCTTATTCTTTCTGCCCATCTATACTATTCAAGGTCCAGCTTCCTTGGGAAGCCTTTCCAGAGCGTCCTACAAAACAGCAACTATTTCATCTTGCCAATTGTTCATTATCCATATATTATATTGTTTCATTAATTATCTTTCCACCTAAAACTTATGGTCCTAAATTGCATAAAAACTACTTAATCATAGGAAGTATATATTACAGCTTCTCCCTGTATCCCTCAATATCGCCTAACACCAAACTGCGCACCTCAAATGTCCAATGGACTGGTTTTTATTAATGATAATTAGATAATTAGCACCAGTTCGGGTAAGACTATTGCCTACTATTTACGTACCCTTTTCTGTGTACCGTTGTTTCCACATTTAATCTCTCATTGGACCCTCACACCAGTCTATGACGTGGGAATTACGATTTCCAGTTCAGAAATGTTATCCCAGATCACATGGCTGCATAGAGCTGGTTTTAGTCCCCGCTGCATCCCTCCCTCCTCAGTCCCCCGAGCTGCCAGTAACGCTGTGGGTGACAACCGGGGGCGAAATGACCACAAACTGGGTGGGGTATCCTGTTCGAGACTAATTTTTGAATTTTCTTCTTTCCATGTCAGCTTAAGATACACTTATTTCTTGGTTGTTACTCCTCCCGTTTATCAAGGAAAATAAATATCTAACCCCATCTACTTAAACCACAGAAGCAAGAAACAAAACAAAACAGATAATTAGCTACTTTACCAGCTGTATTATGTTTTTCCCATTATAATATTACTAATTTCCCTTTTAAACAGTGATTATTGTTACCGCCAAAAAAGACTCCAAACTAGTGATTAAAATGGCTTTCAGTTCTATAGAACTTTGCTTTCCAAGACACTTGTATAGACATAGCTCCTTACTCTTATAAACATCCACAGAGGGAGGTAGGAGGATGTGTTGATTAAAATAGGCATTAAAAAAATTCCGTGTCCCCGACCCCAGGGAAAGCATGGCAGGCCTTGAGAAGCAAAGGCCAAAGAAAGGCAGCTCTAAAATAAATGAAAACAGAACTAAAAGAGAGAACTAAAACCTATGCATTTAAAATTAATCGCGTTTCTAAATAAAGGTCACGGTGCCTCGCATCTCTGCAGCCTCTGCACGGAGGGTTTCAGGACACCTCCCCCAGCCCAAGTCCAAAGCTTCCCCAGGAGCTAAGGGCTTCCATGCTTTGAACTAACAGAAAGCAAGTTAAAATAACACTCTGAATGTCAAGTTTGGAGTTCCATGAAAGGCCCATTGTTCTGGAGACTATTTCAGAGGTGTTCAGCGAAATTCCTGAAATTCCTTATCTTTTGGGCAAAGTGACCGAAACCAAAAATAGCTGGTGTCTCGACAGGTAACAGAATGGGGCAGTGGGCCAGGTTTCAGCCTAAGGACACAAGGTTGGATGCCAACTTCCGCTTCGTGTCACTCACTAGGAAGGGTGATGGGTACAGCTGCCCACCAGAAGGTACGACGTGCAAACCAGACAGACTGACTTTTTTTGGCCACAGAAATGGTGAATTCTTGTTAGTACCTTAGAGACACGTGTTGGAGCCCCTGTTGTGGGACTTCAGGGAAGATTTGGGACGCCTGTCAGCCCAGCGCTTTGCAATTGGCCTTTACAGCCTTGCACGCAGTCCACTGACTCAACCACGAGGCACTGGATTTTCCCGGCTCCTTTCAAGTTTCACTGTGGTTATTTTCAGAATTATGGCATATAAGGTACATATATTTTTTTTAAAAAGAATTACAATGTATTCATTCTATTTTCTCAACATTTATGGGGTTGCTATGTCCAAATTCCATGGGAGTCAAATGGGTTCATTTCCATTAATCTTTAACTACAACTATATTATCACCAAGAGAAAGTCCTAAGAAAGAAAACAAGTGGAGAAAAGCAACAATGTGAAAGCTTATATTAACAAACACCCCTTTCTCTCAGTCTGGGATGTAAATAAGGGGACTCCATGAATTTCAACTCTGAACAATCGACCACTTACCGGGGAAAAAAATGATAATTTTCTAAGCTCACCAAGCAGCACCAGACTTTTTTCACATTTCCTTCCATCTGTCCCTGCCCACCCCGCCGCTCACCCTACACACACCGCTCACCTCTCACTCACCAGTTTAGGGAATCAAGTCCAGACCTTCATCCTGGCCTTCCAGGTCCTTCAATAACATCTAAATTATCTTTGCAGTTCTTCCCACACTCTCCAAAATGACCCACATTTGCACCCTAACAATTCTGGGCACTAAAGGCCGCTTTTCACAAACACACCCTTGCACCTCTGTCCCTGGGCCTCCTTGTACGTGCTGCACGATGTCTCCCCGTCCACCCGCCGGAAGAACCACCCAGGGACACCTCGGGTCCCCCTTAAGCACCAGGGCAGGAGTACGGAGTTCCCACCGAGCCAACCGTTCACTGCGAGACCTCGCACAAGCCCACTGGCCTTTGAAATCTCAGCCTTTCTTCCCGTGAAAGAAGGGAGCGATTCCCACGTTCTTCCTGCTCCGATATTATGTGACTCGACGGAAAACGCCTCCCAGGGGAACCCCGGCTGGTCATCCTCTGCGCCTCGAAGCAGTGTCACACTTAAATGTTGCCTCATCCTACTGCTTAGTCTCGCTCCCTAAGTAAAGCGTAAGCACCAAATGGATAGAATGCACCTCATTCATCTAATTTATGTACGTATTTACTTTTACTGCACAGCAACGAGCATTTTCATATGCTCACTAAGTATCTGCTGAATGAGCACATGAAGGCGGCAGGGGGAGCAGTATGAAGAAAACGAATGATACGCTTTTTCATGGGAAGGCAGCTGCTCGTCGCAGAACACCAACTCCCCTCCACCCTCCTGGCACAGCATGAGGAAAG